GCTGCGGTTCCCCATAAATCGTGCAGACTAATGAGTCACAAAGAGATGCTGCCCAGGTCTGCCCCTCGCCATGGCCGCCGCCGCGGCCTCTCGGTGCGTTGGGCGCTCGCTGGCTCCCTCGCCCGCCCGCCCGCCCGGCCGCCGGCGGTGATTTATGAGCCCCGGGGACAGGGAACAAAGCCGCGCCGGCCGGCGGGGACTCCTCGGCCCTCCCCGGTGTGAATCGGAACATCACCCACTGTCTGTGCGCCCGCCCCACTTCACCACCGACGCCAGGCCAGGCCGGCAAGCCCGGCTCAACTCACAGGTCCCCGGCCGGACGGGCTCCCGGACTCGCAGGCACCCCGCAGGGAAGGCTCCCAGCCCCGCATGGGCCGGCCGGCGGGGTCCTCCCCGCCGAAGGCTCTCTCCAACCCTCCGGAAGGAGTTAAAAGCCTTGAGGAATAAATCTGACGGTGTGTGTTTTAAAAAATCAAATAGGAAGTTGGGGGGGGGGGAGTGTGTCTCACTTCTGAGAGAGTCATTCCTTGTGAGGCCCTGCTGACTCCATCCATTCTTGATGATCGGCATTAATTATTTAATGAGTCACGTGACCCCCAGGATTACAATTTCCATGTCTCCCTCCAACAGGCCTTACACCTTTATCTGCTGCCACCAGGGCCCTTGGCTGGCTTTTTAGTTCCCAGGCCTCCAGAATGCAGACCCCCTTGCCCCAGCTCCGGGGCAAGGGAACCGCCATGGAGATTCCAGGGCGAGCACAGCAGAATGAGGCTGCCTGGGACTGTGAGAATTGTAGGCAGTGCGGTGTCCACTGCCCTCCCAGGCACCTGACCCTGACATCTGTCACCTCCTGGGCTCAGAGGCCAGCCCACCTGCCTCAGCACCCTTCCTTCTAGCTGGGAGGAGCACACCTGTGGCCCTTCATGTCCAGTGTGAGCCAGACTGGCTGGCCTTCTGCCGAGGAAAGGAGCCTGTGCACTCACCCCTATCCAAGGTGAGACCGGATCTACAGCTCATTAGCATAAAGGAAATGGGAGGGGGGCAGTGAGCTGCCTCAGTGTCCTCGCCAGGAAACGGAGATGGGACCAAAATGGCCTCCAGGTCTCTTTTTCCTGAGATACTTTCAATCTGGGCTCTCTGCTAACTGCTGACAATCTGAGGCAGCTCACTGCCCCCCCCAGAAATCAATTCCAGAGAGACTGCGGCTGACCTGAGAGGGGGCAGGGGTTACTCCATGGGTCTGGGGCCTTGAGAATAAGACTTGACAGAGTTCCAAGACAGAGATGTCAGATGAGACTATTTCACAACAGCCCCGCTGCCTCCTCGGTGCTATCAGAGTTAGAACACTGGACTCTCTTCTTCCTCCTATTTTTTCCAGCCTGTGCTCTTTGAGAGGAGAAGCAGCATTAGTTTTGGGTCCATAGACTGTACAATCCAGAGAGGAGTGGCCGCTGGGGGAGCAGCGGTTGGGCAGGGGGAGCCGGTGCGCTCCATGGAGGACCTCACCTGGGCTAGGGATGAGTGTCAAGAACAGCTTTTTGCTGGCACAGAATCCACTCATTCCAACGGGAAGCCCCGGGTCTCTGTTTGCTACATGGGCTGTTTGAGTTTCTTCTTCCTTTCCATTCTAGAGAATGGCTGATCTGTGTCCATGTTAAACTGCTGGCGGGAAGGCAGTGGTGGGTGAGCTTGTTTGCTAGCTTAGGGAAGCAGGGAGAGAGAGGTGGCTTGGTGACACCCACCTCAGGGGGAAGGCCTGAGGGGTGGGGGAGGATGTGGGCACCCGGTGACAGCTGAATATAAAGTCAGAGATGCTGTGCAGAGGGCCGCTCCCCATATATCTAGGTAATCTCCCCAGGAGCTCCATCCTGGGTATTAAGTACTCCACTCTGCCTGTCACAGTTGAATTCCTGCTGTAATAAAACACCGGGTATATCGTAGATTTCAGCAAAACTAGGAAAGAGAGCCTGCAAAGTGCCATTTTTCTTCAGGGGGGAGACTCTTAAGTACTTAATTCAAACTGTGACCATTAAAGTGTCTCCTATCCGATTTAGGTTGATTTCAGATGTTGACAAAACTTTTATCTCTCCAGAGTCATGCACAGCGTGGCTATGTGACTAAAGCAGATGAGTGTGTGTTAGAGGGAAGGGGAGAGAAAGAAGAGGAGAGCATGTGTAAGGGTCATTTTGGTAGCAGCAGCATAGCGCTCACACAAAATACTACTGTCTCTAAAGGTCAAGGGTTTGAGGGGCCAATAGAGTTTGCTTTAAAAAAAAAACAATTAATGAGATAGAAAATTTGTCCTCTGGGTGAACTCTTATGGTTGCCCTAGCAAAGGGCAGACAATGCCCGATTTTGAAGCACAAAGTGGGGTTTTCTAAGCTGTTAAAACAAGCTCCTTCAGAAGACCAAATCTGAAACAGGCAAAACACGAAAGAAATGGCACAGTCATCTGGGTCATTTTGAAGCATTTTGTCTTGGTAAAACTTACCAATACCTTAATAATCAGCACAGTTTGGGTAAAAATGCCATTTTGCACTGGAATCTAAAACACACACACACACACACACACACACACACACACACACACGGTCTCCATCCTTTCTCTTCATTACCCCTTTTAGCCCCATACAACTGCCTCTACAGCTCATTAATGCCCTCATCCCCCTCCTCCGCTACAAAGGAGAAATATAAGAATTTACCTTAATTGATGACAATCTGCCATGTGAGGTTTTGCAGCTCGACACTCAGTTTCCACCAAGAGTCTGGGCATGTTTTGAGCAGACAGGCAAGATGCTGCGTCTTTGCCCGAGACCACATTATTTGCAAGAAGATCCCTTGCTTCTCCACAGACTTTTCCCAGAGAATGCCTTTCAGAATTGCTGTTGAATTACAAAGAAGTATTTATTGTAGGAGGTGATTAATGGTTCCCGGGAAAATTGCTATTTTCAGCGTGGTTTAATTCCGTGTTACAAGTGTGTGGAGCAGAGGAAGGGTTAATGAGTCTCAGCAGCAGTTGCAGGGGCTCCAGAGATCTCTGGCACTCGCTCACACCCTATAAGATGCCCTTTATGCCAGGTCTGGCTCGCTGGGAAGGCGGGCACTTGCTTGCCCCTGGGCTTTCTTGGGGAGAGGTGGAGGCCTCTCTGAGGCTGGGACCCATCGCCTCCCTCTCGGATCCGGTTTGTTCAGAGGTAGACAGCAGTTTGCCTCTGCCTGGGTTACACACAGGCAGGAGAGGAAAAGCACTGACCACTGGTGAGGGGCTCACCACTGATGGGAAAATGTGTATAAAAACCTCTGTTATTGCAGAGGTTTGTGAGCACCCCCTCCCAGCTCTGCTAAAATTATTACAGGAGCTGAACATCGCCCTCACTCAAGGCCAGGTGACAATTCTAATATTCTGGGGCCAGTGTGTGTTGGCTTATTTGTGTCTTGTTCCTTCAGTGACAACCAGGTCTAGATTCTCTGGGCTGATTAGTAAATCAGTAAACAAATCCTAGGGTTGTGGAGGTTGTGAGGTAGATTTTATGTTCAACCTTTTAAATCTAGATCTCTAGGTTGGGCAGAAAAATCTGGGAGCATTTGAGGCAAGTGACCCTAGTTCAGAGTTTGGCTGTCTTCCAGGTTTGAATACTCCCAGGTCTACCTTGCTTTGAGGTACAATTTGGGGTGTCCTTCAGCCTTGTATTTCCTCAGAAGAAACTCTGGAGGGTGTACTGGGAAAATCCAGTTTACTTTAACATTTCTTGCTTCAAAAAAGGAAGAAGTAAACAAATAAAAATTCCCAAGCTATAGTTACTGAAGAGAGCCTTCAAAACAGCAAGGAAACAAAAAGCAATCTCAACCCTTTACACAAACTATTTTTTATCTCCAGGGAAACAGGCAGATTAAGTGCGAAGGTGCCATAAATACCAGAGGGACCACTTCTTTCCAAGTGTGCTCAGAGTTCAGCGAGTCAGAGCAGCTGCAGAGAGTCCTGGGCCCGCAGCGCTGCACGGTTTCACCTTTCATCGCACAGAAGGACACGTTTCTCTGCCTTACGGAGACTTGAAGCCTGACAGCCTGGCCAAGTTTGGGAAGAAGAGGAGCCCTCTCAGAGCTCAAGAGCCTTCATGCTCTTTGGAACTTTTCCCACCGCGGGTCAGACTTGACAAGAGTTCAGCTCGAGTTGAACACACTCACACACATTATATGCGCAGTCGGAATCCGGGAGAACACAACTCAAACCATCTACAAGGTTTTCTCATGGGCAAGGTCAAGCACGTCAATCCAAAGCACTTTAAAAAAAAATTAAAAGTAGGAAGCACACAGACGTGTTTTAGAACTTTAATGCTTTTTGAAACAGAGTTTATTCTTAGCAAGGCTTTCTATAGAGCCACACCACGGTTTGTACAGTTGCACATGGGTCTAAATACACTCCCCTCGCCCCAAAGATGTGCCTCGGAACAAGACAACTACACCTCTACAACAATATTTTAAATAAGTGCAAGGGAGGGGAACTATGGTGACACGGCTACCATTGAGGTCTATACATTTTGAGAATTAAATAATCCTGTGAGGTCCACAATGCCTACTCATGTATTCAGTTCAAGACAAGCTTGTATGAGCTGCCTGAATGAGGGAGGGGAGACAAGGAAAGGGTAGGAAAGGGTCTGTTTTCTTCTGTTTGCAACAAATATACACATACAGGTCCTTCGGCCATCTCAAAAGTGTGTGGGGCCAAGTGGTCCTTCTCAGGTGCCCAGCCCTGGCAGCCTTCCTTCTTAGGCCAGCAGGCTGTGCAACCAGCCAGCATCCTGGCCACTGTCCTCTCTTGGGTGGCAACCAGCACACACTCCTACCAGGATAATGTCCTCTTCCTTTTATTACACTTTTCATCTAGTTAGGTTTTGTTTTGGGGTCTGTTGTGGTCCCGATGGGGAGGGTGGGTGGGGAAAGGGGCAGAAGAGAGGAGAAGAGCAGATGAGGGAAAGAAACTGGTCTAGGTCTCTAGAAGATCATATGGAGGAGGGAATGGGTGTGGAGGCCCCTTGGTGGGGGTGGGGGTGGGGGTGCGGGTTTGGGTGGGGGCTCTGAGTCTGTGCTTTGCCTGGCGGGCCTGCGGAGGAGGCCGAGGCCGAGTTGGAGGAGCGCATCTTAGTGTTGGGCAGTTTGTGATCTTTCTTCCACTTCATCCTCCGGTTCTGAAACCAGATCTTGACCTGCCGCTCGGACAGGCAGAGCGTGTGGGCGATCTCGATGCGGCGCCGCCGGGTCAGGTAGCGGTTGAAGTGGAACTCCTTCTCCAGCTCCAAGACCTGCTGCCGGGTGTAGGCGGTCCGAGAGCGCTTGGGCTCTCCTCCGTTATAACTGGGGTTGACTGAGAGCCCATCACCCCGAGGAGAAAGCCGAGGCGGAGGGAGCGGACAGAGAGGGGGAAGGAGGAGGAGAGATAAGGTGGGGTGGGGAAGAGCAATGGGACATCATCATTATATAATAACCTGACACCAAGTTCACGCAAGACACATAAAACGGCAAAGAAAATGTTTCACAGGCTATTGACAACGGGAAACACCCGAGAGCCATAAAGCGCGGGAGCTGGGCCTTGGGGCTGAAGAAAAGCTTCAAAGACACATGGCCTGAAGCCTCTGCCAGGGCAATTAAATTTATGGGGGCTATAATGACTGCCCTAACAGTTTGGCGTCTCGTAAATCTCCCGATAAAGGGACCCGGGGTACAAAAGGGTTCTCACATTGGGATCGGGCTGGCTGGCGCGCACACACCCACACCCCACTGTCGCCGGGGCCACCTGGGGCTCCCCTCCCAGGCCCCTTCCCGGGGCCCTCGCCTTCTGACCCTCCCTGGCCCCCCAGACCCTCGCCCTCCGGCCGGCCGGGGCCGCAGCCCGCCCTCCCGCGCCCCCTCCCCAGCGGCGCCACGTACCGGCGCTGACATGGATCTTCTTCATCCAGGGGTACACCACGGGCTCCTTGCCCTTCGGGCCCGGCGCGCTCTTGTCGGCCAGGAGCAGCGGGCACGCGGGGGCGCTGCCGCCCGCCGGGGCGCCCGGGGTGGCGGGGGCCGCCTCGCAGCGCCGCAGGGGCGCCGGGCGAGGCTGCGGGGGCGGCGGGGGCTGCCGCCCGGGGGCCGGCAGGCCGGGGCCCGCGTGCAGGCCGTGCGCGGGGCCCTTGGCGAGCGCGGGGGGCTGCTCGGGCTGCGGGGGCCGCGCGGGGCTGGCGCCGGCGCGGTAGCCATAGGGGAAGGCGGCGTCGGCGGCCCCGGGCGCGGGGTAGAGCGCGGCCGCGGGGAAGGAGGGCTCGCGGGCGGCCCGCGGCGCGTAGTAGGCGGCGGCGGCGGCGGGGGGCTGGCGGCCGCCGCCCGCGTGGGGCGGCGGGGGCGGCGGCGGCAGGTGCTGGGCCGCGGGCGCGGGGGGCTGCGGGTAGCCGGAGCCCCCGCCCGGGCCGCCGTCCCCGCCGCCCGGGCCGCTGTGCTGCGCGTACTCCTCGAAGGGAGGGAACTTGGGCTCGATGTAGCTGGAGTTTATCAAAAACGAGCTCATGGTCATTAATTTGTGAAGTGCAAAAATACTAATTTTTCTCGCGTTGTCGTTTTTCTGGGCTCGCCGAGGCCCCTCCCCCTCCTGCCTGGCTCCCCATCCCCCGCGCCCGTCCCCCCTCCCCCCTCCCCCGCTGTCAGCGCCCGCCCCTCCCCCGCCGCCGCCGCCAATGCCACCAAAGTTCGCGCCGCCCCGCCCCCGCCCGCGCCCGCGCGCCCCCCACGTGACCCGCCCCCGCCAATGGGAGCGCGGCGCGCGCGGACCCGGATCAGGAAGCGCGCGGAGGTGATGGATGCTGCGGTCGGGTCCCCGGCGGAGGGAGGGAGCTGGCGCTTTGGGTCCCCCCCCTCCCCAACCCCCCAACTCTGAGACCCGCTGGGAATTGGGGGGCCCTCGAAGGCCTCCATTCCCGGCGGACGCCCCGGCCGTGCCCTGGGAGCGCCCCAGTCCTGGCCTAGGCCTCGCGGAGCAGCCAGGCGCCCGCGGCCCAGCGCTGACCTCGGGGCCCCGCCTCGCCCGGCCCGGCGTCCTCCCGGGTTCGAGGCCGGCTAAGGGAGGGAATGGGTTGGGATCGAGGAAATCATGCTCGTTTGAATCCTGTCCCGGGAATAAAACGAATGAGGTCGATAGACCTATTTTCTCCCCCAGCTGATCCCCTTGGCCACCCGCTCGCCGCGCCCGCGCCGGGGGTCCCCGCTCCGAGGAGCCCGGCAGGAGCCGCGAGAGCCTGCGGCTGAGCAGCCGGGAGAAACTGGCCTGAAAATGCACAGCTAGGCCCTCCCGGCACGACCGGACGGGCGCTTTTCCTGCTGTCTTTCTTTTAGAGACAAAATCTGATGGCGGGGAGGGGAAGTCCTAAGAAAACTCAGAACCTCCTAATAGCATCTCGTTTGATGGAGGTGTTGATGTGAGAGTTAAACACTCGCGTTTTCTGGGCGCGATTGGGAGGGAAGAGGTGGTCCAAGGATGGGAGATGGATGGATGAAAACTGAGCTTTGCAACCAACAGCGTCCTATCTCAGACAATTCCCAAGCAGAAACGAGCGACGGAGAGAGTGAGTGCACTTTGCCCAGTCTGATTGCCAACGATGCTCTTCCCCGCTGAGAAGATTGTGTTTTGTATTTTGGATGCTGCTCTCCCAGGCTGAATCTCAGGGTAAAGTTCTGTTTGCAGGACAGCCTGTAATTTCTGCATTGCTGGGAATTAGCATATTAACGATAATCGTAGCTCTGGAAAGGGGGGGGGGGGGAGAGGACTGTTGCCTGCCATTTTGGTAATTGAAATTTGATGGGTAAACTAATTACACCATTATTAACAAATAAATTACTTATTAATCCCACCTAATGTTGATCTTTGAATTAAATACTGAAGCCTTTACTCCTGCTGTGTACTTTTCCTTTCCTTTTCTGGGTAACAGACACACCTACATCCTCTACTTTCCAGCCTAGACTCAAGCACTACAAGCTAGAATAGCCACTCTTCAAACATACTTTCATATTGGCATAGAACAGCCAGGATTTTTTTTTTCAGCTGGTACATCTTACTTGATTTTTCAAAGAGCAGTATAAACAGCCTTCTCACCACTGAGTCTGGAAGGCAGACAAAGTTATAGCTTAAGCCTGGAGACACTTCAAAAGGAATGTCAATTCTATCTTCATTTATATCGGTTACTCATATGAGTTACTAAATGCTGGAATATCCATTTGATGGATAGTCATTTAATGCTTAGCCACATAAAGCCTATTATATGGGACTAATCTTTAAACTAATTTAGGAAGAGAGGTTTAAAGGAGGATCATGTTAGCTTTTTTAACTGGAATCACCCTGAAGTGGTACAAAGAGGTTTTCCACATTGGCTGTGTGTCTGTGAAGAGTGCTGTCCATCCACTTGGGGCACCCTGACTTTTTTTTTTTTTTAATGAAATCTGAGCCACAGACAGAAATCAATGCGGAAGGTAATCTTTAGATGTTCTCTCTAGATTCCCTGGAAATCTAGCCTGTGCTATAGCTGCCTAAACCAATATCTCTCTACAGTAAGAAACACACACACACAGACACATATACTGACTTTATAACCTGAATAATATATACATAATATAATTTTCAAAATTGGGCTCTCTAAGCTTGCAGGAGGGAGGGAACATGACAATGAAATTTTGCCGTCATTCTTGTGGCATCAGCCTTGAGTACTAGGGTCTTAACCATGTTTGTTTAATGTTATTTACAGACACTAAGACACAAAATTCATGTTGTTTAGCCTCAGAACCTTCTACCGGGTTTCTATTTTAAAGTATTAACAAGGCATGGGCACTGTTTTGTATATGGTTAACCTAAACGAGTTAACTGCGCCTGTGTTCCTGTGGTTATATTACTTTAGGAAGATGGGCTTACACAGAATCCCCCAAGGCCTGTAACTTGTCTTTGTGGTTCCTATCATAAACACAAACGGAGCCAGGACCACCAAGTGTTATCTCACACACGGACATTTTGACATTTTACTGCAAGATTTATGGCTGTAATAAACAATCTCAGTACCTTTTCTGATCCTTCCACAGTCTCTCTGTGCAAGCCACAGCATCATTCCACTGAATCAAATAATCTTTTGGAAAACATTTAAAAAAAACAACAACACTTCTTGCCTTTACATAAAATCCGAGACACCAAAATAAAGCCAGAAAGAAACTAACTCAATTAATACATAAACCGAAGTTTACCAGCAGCATCTTGCAGGGGAAAAAGATGGGATGCTCTGAAATGGAGCAGAGAGGCAGTGCTAACCTTCGCACACCAACTGGCTCCCGTTCCAAGTGGGAGCCTCATCCTTTTCTTGGTAAGCACGTTTGCTCACTTCCACGTGCAGGGATCACATAGATCCCCAACAAAGGCTTTCTTAAAATCCCATTAAATGAAACAACTTTTCATCATGTCCTCGAATCCCAGATGGAGAAGGAGAGCAAAGGGAGTCCAAGGGAGCGGGAGGGCGAGAGGAAGGCAGGCTTAGCAGCCTCGTTTGAATCTGATTTGAATCATTTTGAATATCTTTGGAATGGCCTGCCCTCTTGAATGCGACCCTGCCCCGAGATTCAAAGTGACCGAACAGTGACACCGTGTGCATTTTGTTTCTTATTAATCTTACACATTGACAGTCTTTGTTAAGTCACAAGGCGCGCCCTTCACCAGCCGACATTTTCATATTTGTTAGACGCGCTGACCTGAAGTTCACCTCGGCCTTGGACTTTGCGCTTCTAAAAGGTCTATACAGTGTCTTTTAGAGAGCAGGGTCTTTGCCCAGGTCACTCCTTCTCAGGGAAAACCGGAGGGGGGTAGGGAGGAGAGCAAAGGAAATGTAAACGTTATGGAATGTATTGACTGTATTTGTCCTTTGTTCTTTAGAATGAGAGTCCCCCAGACTGACTGCTGGTCTCTGGAATGGCTGGATTTCAGAGTGCCTGATGGTGGCATTTGCGGGCTCTCTCCCACCTACATGAGGCACATGATTTTAGAGAAGCAATACTTTATCACCCATTTGAACCATTAATTGTTTGGGGGCAATTTCCTTGCAGTAGTTTATAGCAATGAGCATGACCCAGGCATAAAGATTGAAATGTATACTTGCATTAAATATAAATTTTCTCCAGGAGTGTGTAAGAGGCCTAACCATCAAAATCCTCCAAATAAAAACGTATGCACTCTTAAAAGCAATAACTTCTTCGGGTACCTTTTACTTTCAAAACTGGCTAAGGGGTGCCTATGCTTATTGAATCTGACATGTTTCTAAGGCGTGGGACATTCTTAACCAATAATACAATAACAAGCTTCTCTCAAAGGGACACATAATTGTCTTGGTGAGTAATAGCGGGGGTTTCAGTTTTCCCCGTTTTGCTAGCCCAGATGTGGTGAAGTGTTCACTGCTGTAACAGCAATCACCACAGTTGTTCCCTTTCTTGTTTTCATCTGGCACACCCCCATTTGGCTTCCAGCTCTTGGCCAGAGCGAAAACTTTACACATCCAACAGTGGAAGCAATCTGATTACTTCCACCACGGCCCTGTTTGGGAAATATTTACCACTGAATGTCCCTGGCACCAGCAAATCCAATCAACAAGGATATATTGGGGTGATCTTGCACATGCCTAACAAGAGTCTACATTCTGAGTAGTTGGATTAACATCTTTATAGTTAGAAAAGAAAAACCCAGAAAAATTTTTTTCATCTTTCTCTTCTCTGCTTCCCTTCAATGATTACTTAAAGATCGATACCTGGAAAAGGAAAACACGTCCCCCAGAAAACAGATTCTAATGCCACCGTCACTTCCAGCTAATATGGGTGCACGAGAAATAAAATAGTGTTCAGCGCTCCAGATGCAACTCACACAGAAGGCATGGTTCCAGTTGGCTTCCTTAACACACTGTTCCCTTTCTTTCCCTCTCCTACACCCTTCCTCCTTCCTCGCCTCTCCTCTCTTTCGCCTTTATTCCAAATGTGTTTTTAAAGAGTATTTTCTGGAGAACAGAAGTCTGTCATGGTGCTCTGACATTTCTGGATTCCACCTTCCTGCTCAAAGGGCATATTCTTTACAGTCTGGCCATTCACTTACAGATTGTAGCATTTCTCTTACTTTCAATGTAGGGTTAACAATCACCGTAATGAAAAATTTCCCACAACAGGAACATTTTCAGGATACCGATGGGCATTTTCTCGCTGGTGGAGGGGGGAAGAATCCTGTCCCCTTCGGGGAGGGTTTCCGTTTCCTCCCTCCCCTTCCCAGCTCTCAGAACTCTTGGCGTTCAGTGGGTGGCAATTTCAGAAAAAGCGTTCTGTGTTTGAAAATTGCCAAGAATACATTTGGTAAGAAATGCCTGTTTGCCCTTCTTCTCACTTTAGGGATCATTATGGGCACTAAAAAGAGAGCAATGGCGAATCAAAATCACCGTTTTCAAATAAAGGAAGTTTCTGTCGGCTCTCTTGCCTTTGAAAGGTACCACGGAGCATTGGAAACTTGCTACGTTA